CAGGATGGTCAGATCTAGACTAATAGTAGTTTACAACTTTATTAGGTGTCATAATATCTTTAAACACCCAGGATGGTCAGATCTAGACTAATAGTAGTTTACAACTTTATTAGGTGTCATAATATCTTTAAACACCCAGGATGGTCAGATCTAGACTTACAGTAGTTTACAACTTTATCAGGTGTCATAATATATTTAAACACCCAGGATGGTCAGATCTAGACTTATAGTAGTTTACAACTTTATCAGGTGGCATAATATCTTTAAACAGGCAGGATGGTCAGATCTCGACTTATAGTAGTTTACAACTTTATTAGGTGTCATAATATCTTTAAATACTCAGGATGGTCAGATCTAGACTTATAGTAGTTTACAACTTTATTAAGTGGCATAATATATTTAAACACGCAGGATGGTCAGATCTAGACTTATAGTAGTTTACAACTTTATTAGGTGTCATAATATCTTTAAATACTCAGGATGGTCAGATCTCGACTTATAGTAGTTTACAACTTTATCAGGTGTCATAATATCTTTAAACACGCAGGATGGTCAAATCTTTAAAAACGATCATCACATAAATTATTTTTACTGATTTTATTTCTTGTTTTCTGAAATATGTCTCCAGTCAGTCTGTGTCTGCATTTAGCGTAGTCTGAATGTGTTTTAAACGTATTTTCTGAACTATATTTAGCACGCGGATTAGTTTATAGGTCATGTTGTCACTACTAATACAATAGAGAACTGACATAACTTGTACGAATAATTTTGTTTCTTCGTTAGGTACAAACTACTAGGAGCACGACCCTCAACTTTATGGTTCACCATACAAGTTATGATGGACGCAGGATGTTCAAACTCAACTATATTCGGAGTTCCAGACCCTAAATATTGCAAGTAGGTATTGTTTATTTTAGGATTTCGCGCAAAGCTCCACAAAGGGCTTATCTGCGTATAGCCGTCCATAATTTTGAACTGATAGACTAGAGGGAAGGCAGTTAGTCAGCAGTACACCCACTGCCAATTGTTGGGCTAAATGCGTTTAACCAAACAGTGGGGTTTGATTGTCATCCTTACAGAGTTCTCACTATCCAAAAGTTAGGGCACATCAACTAATAAGCTATTCCCAGCCTCAAGTAGGTATTTACTATGATTTTTTTTAAGCTGTGACATAGGGGCCCATAGAATGGCTCTGAGTTTTTTTTATTATCAAATACAAACTTTTAGCTCATAGTTCTGTGTTACGTATTGAGAATTTGAAATAATCTGAAGCCGATATTTAGTTAATTTACGCACAATTTTCACACAAATACGTTTTAATATATATTTATATATATATATACAGCAGTACAATTTACAACAACAATTATTACAAATAATTACCACAAATAAAGTTTTATAAACAACAATTTCACTAACTTACAAACAACATAGAATCTTCTTTCTAGGTCAGAGTCTCTTTGATATCCAGCGAGTTAACTTGAAGTCGATGTACGTACAATTGCCGAGAAGCTAGCTAGCTTTGTCAGACACTGAATTGTTGGACCATCGAAGTAAGATAATATTTTCATAAAACCACTAATGTCCGATGAGAATTCAGTAATACTTTCGGAAAGATACTAACGTCCAATGAGAATCCACTGACGTTCGAAATTTATAACTGTTCCTGATCAAATGTCGTATATTTTCCGGTTGATAAGGGTTAGCGAAATCATGGTTTATAGCGTACACGGTTGTAGCAGGTTCCTAGTAGACTTATTAGCTCTCTTCTTTTTGGCGCATCGCCTTGCCAGTTTTATAGGTGCGACAACAATACTGAACTATATTTAACCGGTTACGGAAGTGGATATATTGTCGATTCTTGCGTTCACGAATAATCTACAACCTTGGAGAATTAGCGGGAGTTTCGCCATACGTAACTAGCACTGTAAGCTAGGTATGTTTTTAAATACAAACTCAATCCAACAAACGTTGACATGAAAATAAATATACAACAAATTCGTTATACGCAATACATATCCAACACTATAAGTTACGCA